CGTAATTATAGCCATTATTCAATTGTGTTATTACAAACACATAATTTTATTTTTAGCACCAAATTTTAATTTTTTTCAAAATAATTAATTATAATATTTAAAAATATCAATTTATAAATTAATTTTAATATAAACGCTTTTTTAATTTATGTTCTATAGGTATAAGATAAGTGTATATGATTGCAAGATTTTTACCACCTCAAGTCCTTTAATCAACTTTAACATCAACATCCATGTAAAAATGTAAGACCAAACAAAAGAGAAAAATATACGGTGTGACGTTAGATGTGTTGCTTCGTTAATAAGTGTTAATTGGCATCTTTTACAAAATTTGAAGATTAATTTATATCAGTTAAATGGTTTAATGACTTATTTACACTGTTTTTAGTCTCACTTGTTAATTTGGAATGAATTTTGGGGCTTAAGAGGGGGCCTTGGCCTTATCGCAACACACAAAATTTCCTCCATGTTGCAAGAAAATTTCTAATCCGTAAGTGGCAGTTCCTAATTGGATGCTGATGATTTGCCAGTTCACTGAGTTCCTATTTTACCATATGCTCTCGGTGAGCAGGGAGCACTTCCTTGGCACCTGGCAAGTCTTTTGAGCGTCACGTTTAACCTTTACTGTTGATTTTAAATAAGAATCTCAACTGGACAATATTTTTTGGACAAACTTACATCAAGTTTTTATAATTTTAGTTGAAGGTCAAATAATTCCCTTTGCTTCTTCTCTTGGCAAATGAGCCTTCTACAAAAAAAGATTATCTCACGCCACAAAGGCTATATCATATTGGGTTGGAGTAATAGGTAATCATTGCTTAAACTATAGAAAGTAAAAGTAAAATTTAAAAATCAATTTTTTTTCTTTTTTTGGATTACATAGAATAATATAATCCCTTTTCATCTCTTAATTTATTTTATTTACATGTTATATAATTTAAACTCAAAATTTTACTATTGAACTACTTAGATTATTAGCATTCAAAAATTTCTTTAAGAAGCTAAAAATATATATTTCTTAATAATTATAATTTCAATCTATTTAATTAAGCAATTATTAAAAAAATAACTACTTTTTAGGGGAGGTGTGCAAATGAACAAAGTTTAGGGATTAACTTTAAGCATTTAAAGCATAAAAAAAGTCAATATAATTTTTCGTTATGGAGATTTGAGAAATATGAAAGCTATTTTCTCAAAAAAAA